CAATGTAACGCAAGAAATACTAAATTTATACCATTGGCGTACTTAACTCGAATGACTGACATTTTTACCGTTACTAATTGTTTGTACATAAGTTTCAACTTTAAAATCAAAATTCTTAATAAGTATTGGGCGGAATTATAAAATTTAAAGTCTGTTGTAAAGAGAATTGTAAGAGCTTTCAAAATAAATATTACTCAACCCCCAATGCCATTTAAATATTTTGGGGTGATGCTTACCCTTGCTTGAGGGTGAAAGTGGCGGAGTCAAAAATACCAGCAAAGAAGGTCCCCCTTTAATCTGAAATCGACGGGTCTGAGCGTTTTTCTACAATCTTGACGCAGTTCCTGAAATTGGCTCTGGTTCTTTTTCATTTGGCCACCCTGTATGTATACCTCAAACTAACTTATATCAAAAATTCCGGCAATTTAATCAAAATTGCAATTTAAAGGCCCATTTAATTGGACTAATGTTTAAATATTTGATTTGTTTAAAAAATATCTTGAAAAAAACTATTTTCATCGTCTCAATTTTAAGGATATATTAGAAATAAACTAATTCATTTGAAAAAAAAAACATAAATCTTTATCTGCACACATTTTTATCCTTGTTTCCTTGAAGATCGATGTTAAAATTAAAAATAACTACATACCATTAAACTGCTACTATTCTCGTCTAGATATAAAAAGTAGATTTACGATTTTTTGCTAAACGGATCGTCCGATTCGATTTCGCCACTGTACGTACGCAAAAAACTGCTGAATAATTTAATCAGGTTAAAGACCCACAATATTGTTGAAATAGAAATTTAATACATTAACAGCTAAAGAAAGCGTTTGTTGAAGTAGGTACAAATTTAAAATTACCCGGCGCCTAAAATTTATTTAGAAAAAATACCTAATAATACTTCTTTCTCTGCCTGTAATCCGAGTAATCTAAATGCATAAAATGAATCGAGTTTTCCCCGCACAAAAACTATCGTAAAACTTCAAAGAAATCATAATTTTAATGCAAAGCAGTCGGTGAAATCTAGTGGGCGGGAATCGTGAGTATAATGGCAATTTTTACACAGACGCTAAAACGTTTAAAAAAATAGATACACAATTCTTACGTACAACGTAGACGTTAGCTCAATTAAAAAAGGATCAATGTATGCATAAAAAAAACAAGAAAATTGCGATACCTACACGTCTGGGTCTGGGGCAAAATGATGGGCGGTGTTATATAAGCAAACACTTTAATAAAATGATTTAAATGGGCATTACATATTCTTTGTTACATACAAGTAGGTGGATGTAGACAGTACATTAGTCTAAACGGTTAACTAATGATTTATGCATGGATGTCCCATTTACAAAAATTACTTAACCTCATTTCCAGGACAATCGAACAAAAGTTTAAAAACTCACCGGTAACAAGAAAATCCAAACGTGGGAAGGAGATCGATGCAACATAAGGTCGTGGGACGTTATTTTTCTCCGGTTTTAATTCAAAAAAACGTCGAAAAATAACTATATAGTTTCGTAATAGGAGCGAATACGAACACGTTGCGCGACCGCCTGAACGAAGCAACGCGCAGGCTACCTAGATCTCGGCGCGGTACAAACTGACGGCGCTAGCAAAACTCCAAGCCTTCCAAGCGACTTGATTAAACTTGTGCTTTCTTCGATTACGTTCCCACCACGAGTATTAATACTATGCTTTCCGCTGTAGCTTGCAAGCATGTTGCTAGTGTTGTCTTTTTTATTTTTAGTTTTTTCACTACTTACCGATGTAAAAAAATGGCACATCTGGAGAGCGCTAGTAGAAAAAAAATTATATAACATACTTAAGGAGGACTCTCCGTACATTCTTTGAGGGCGCATTTTTATTATGTTCTGAGATGGGAACGCAAATGTTTATTACTTTTTTAATTTACTTCCTATGAAAAAATACTGCAGTTAATTTTCAATTATTAGTCCAGGAAAATAAGGACTGTCCTCAAATCTACACTTATACAGGGTGTCCGGTAAGTACCTCCTAATCTCTCGCGAGTGTATAGGGGAGGTCAAAATAAAACTAGTCCTTCCTATAATTTTTTTTCCTAATGTGCCCCCTAACGGAGTTATGGGGGTTCAAAGGGGTACCTAGAAATTAACGTTTAGGGTTGTAACTTTGAAACCACCCTGTATATTTTAATAAAATTTTCGTACGTTTTATTAGACATGGAGCTCTACGATTTGATGCTAAAAATCAACTTTTTGCTATTATCAGGTGTCCAGAAACGGACTGGCCCTATCACAATTTTTCTCAAACTTTTGACAGAAGTAATTTTATCAAACTGAAAATATTATTATTAGATACTCTGAAGGTTTTTCTTTAAAAATGGTACTCTTTATTTATTTCGAAAAAATGAACGGTTTGCGAGATAAATCGGTTTTGAAAAAAATTGGTAACAAATACAACAACAATTAAAATTTATTTTTTTTACATATTATTTCATGCATTTAATTTCTTTAACTTTATCAAGTCCAGAAATCTTTGAACGGGTTGGCTATACTTTATGAGCAAGTAGTGACCAATTAAAAATAACATTTGAAAAATAACTTACTTACAAGACATGCAACAAAGAACATTCAACAATGAACAAAGGTACCTAAATGTTACTTCGGTAGATGTTCAAAATGAGCACCCCGTACTTCAATGCACTTTCTAATCCTACGAATGTTTTCCCGGTGCACTTGAAATAATATTCCGTGATTATTGCGGAGATGGTCACAGTTCTGTGTTAGCCTCAGCAGAAGTTCCTCTCTACTATTTACGGGTGTTGAATAAACGTTATTTTTTAAATGACCCCACAGAAAAAAGTCTAATGGGTTTAGGTCGGGCGACCTAGGTGGCCATAATACAGGTCCGCCTCGACCTATCCATCGATCACCAAAAACATTCGTCAGATGTTGACGTACTAAACGATCAAAGTGGGGTGGTGCACCGTCATGCATGTACCACATTTCAGTTCTTATTTGAAGGGGCACTTCTTCTAACAAAATATTTAGATTTTCCTCTAAAAATTGCAAATAAAGAGCACCATTAAGTCTTTGCTCCAGAATAAATGGACCAATCAAATGATTCCCGATAATGCCAGCCCACACATTCACCATAAACCTTTGTTGGTAGCGAGTTTGAACTAAAGCGTGAGGGTTTTCTTCATCCCAGACATGTAGATTATGCGAATTAATTATGCCGTCTCTTGTAAAACCTGCTTCATCGGTGAACAAAATAGATGTACCAAAATTATGATTCCGAATATGATGCTGTAAAAACCAATTGGCGTATTGAAGTCTTTTTGGATAATCATCTGGAGACATAGCATGTACTTTTTGGATGTGGTACGGGTAAAGCAATTGTTCTTTCAGAGTTTCATGTACAGCCCATTTTGTAACATTGTTTTGCGCCGCAAGCTTCCTTATGCTATTTGAAGGATTATTAGCAACGTCTTCCAATATTTGTTCCTCTACATGAGGGTCTCGTACTCTCCTCGGGGCTCCTGCTCCACCACGGCGTGGCAAAAAGCTTCCTAAATAAAGGATTCGGAAGAAATTAGTTTCACTAACGTTTTTCACTATTTTTTTTTACCTGTTTCTCTTAAACTACGATCAACTCTTTCAAAAGTTTTTGGACTCGGCAAATGTCGACCCGGAAACCTTTCCTCATAAAGTCTTCTTGCCTCCACGGAGTTGCATAATGCTTCCCCATAAATTAGGTGCATATCAGCATATTCTGCACAGGAATATTCTTCCATTTTTAAATGTTATTTCTAACGGCTTAAAACGAATACCACAATAAAATTGAATTTTTATTCTGTCACGCGCCTTTGACAAGTACTTTAAAATCAACAGGGTCTAACAACGAAAACAATAGAAAAGAACTCCATGGAGACAAGAGCAATAATAATTTGTAGATGTATTTTGGTCATAGATGTTGATTTTACAAGAAACGGCATTATTCATTCCCTTAATTCACCACCAGTAAATGTTTATGGTGAATCTGTAGGCTGGCACTAGCGGGAATGATTTTATTGTAAAAAAATAAATTTTAATTGTTGTTGTATTTGTTACCAATTTTTTTCAAAACCGATTTATCTCGCAAACCGTTCATTTTTTCGAAATAAATAAAGAGTACCATTTTTAAAGAAAAACCTTCAGAGTATCTAATAATAATATTTTCAGTTTGATAAAATTACTTCTGTCAAAATTTTGAGAAAAATTGTGATAGGGCCAGTCCGTTTCTGGACACCTGATAATAGCAAAAAGTTGATTTTAGCATCAAATCGTAGAGCTCCATGTGTAATACAACGTACGAAAATTTTATTAAAATATACAGGGTGGTTTCAAAGTTATAACCCTAAACGTTAATTTCTAGGTACCCCTTTGACCCTCCATAACTCCGTTAGGGGGCACATTAGGAAAAAAAAATATAGGAAGGACTAGTTTTATTTTGACTTTCCCTATACACTCCCGAGAGATTAGGAGGTACTTACCGGACACCCTGTATATACCACCTCGCTCATTTTTTCCTTATTTTCCTGGACTGATAATTGAAAATTATCCGTAGCATATCTCATATATTTTTTTATAGAAAAGTGTAGTCATAAAACATATGACCACCAGCGACATAAAGCGTTTTGAGATATAGATATGCATAACAGGGCGTACCAAAATGAATATCGGTGTTTTAAAGCTTTGTAGAATTTATAACAGTGACTTTATCATTACAAATTATACATCAAATGAACGAGCAACTCAAACAGTTTGTCCTACAAGTGTTCAATGTGAGCACCCTCCGTCACAAGGCACACATCGAGTCGATGGCCGAGTTCGTCTCAAACCTTGCTGAGTGTGTCTGGAGTAATTGATGCAACTGCAGCTTCAATCCTGTCGTAGGTCGTTTGGGTTAGCTGGTAGTGGAGGCACATACACCCGATCCTTTACAAACCCCCAAAGGTAAAAATCGCATGGCGTCAGATCTGGTGAACGTGAAGGCCATACGAAACAAGCTCTTCATATGGCCCCTTACGGCCAATCCACCTGTCGGGAACAATGTTGTTTAACCAATCGCGTACGAAGGCATGCCAATGAAGCGGCGCACCATCCTGCTGCCAAATAAAGTTCTCTGGTTCAGCTTCGTGTAATTGAGGAAAGAGCCATTGTTGTAGCACATCAAGATCTAATTTTCGTCAATTTATTCGTGAAGTTCAGAAGTACCAACCCAACAGATTTCCAACCTCAGATCAGTAATGAGGTTATGTTATTGGAATATGTAGATAAATGTGTGGCGTCGTACTAGTTTTGCATTGTTTTTACTGATTTGTTACTTACAAAAACTAGTATTTATATAATATGTGTCGAAACGGTACCGCTGTTGTATCACTACAATTATGAGTGGAAAGGTGACATTTTTGAAATTTATTTGCTTGTTTCATTCGTTGGTAGAACAGATTCACGCGTCAAAAAACTTGACAAAGTCTGTAGCAGTGTAAAACCACACTGTTTACCAATAAATTCGTGAATTAATTCATGAAGAACATCGTCAATTTATTCATGAATAAATTGTCAATATGAAACAGCTATAATGGAAGACGGAGGAACCAGAGCATGCGCACGAATACTTGTAGGACAAACTGTTTGAGTTACTCGTTCATTTGATGTATACTTTGTAATTGTAAGTTAACAACCTCTACAAAGCTTTAAAACCCCGATATTCATTTTGGTACGCCCTGTTATTATGTATGTATGTTAATAATCCGAGCGAACTAGACCAAACACATGCCTGTTTCGAAAATCTGGCCTACGTCGAATTTTATGGGCTTAAAATTAAGTAAAAAATACACAGATTAAAAGCCTAAATTTAAAACGAAAAAAAATTGCTCTTTTTTCAGTTTTTCGCTTATATCTCCGAAAATAAGCCTCTAATCGACATGAGGTATACATATCGACTTTTGTTCCTAAGGAAATTTGCTACGAGGATAGGCTGTCCTCGAACGATTCCATCTACCCCCATCGGGCTATGGCGAGATATAAGGAGGGAGAAAACGAATTAAGCCGGTCGCGGTCCCGTCGCATCACGGACCGTTCTGGGCTGAGCTGATCGCGGTCTTTTACAAAATCAGTCGCATTTGGCAATCACGTACAATCCTTCTCGCGCTCTCCTTTAAATAATTGCTTTATTGTTTTAATAGTTAAGGAAAAGAGTTATATGGAAGGGGTATTCTTATTGGCTCTTCTAGGGTCTCCCGAGATTCTTTGGAAAAGATCGGTGACGGTGGAGAACGCGATGCGAGCGAGACGAGCTCGTAATGTTTAGTGCGAATGCATACATTAGAAAACATGGGAACTCCACCGCGCGCGATCGAGACTAGTATGGTCCGCGATGCGATGGGACCGCGATCGCCTAAAGCATTCCCTCCTTAACAGAGCAATTCTTTTAGTCTAGGGAACCAAGAACCAAGGGTTTCCCCTCTGAATTCTTTCGGATAGAACCGATTGACGTGAAGCTTGGACTGTAAGTAGAAAATAGCTCAAGAAACAAAAGTTATATAGTGCCAAT